ATAGCTTCCCATGCCACCATGAATAAAGTACAAAATCTTCAGTGTGTTTCAAAGAGTCCTGTTTACTCTGACCCCGATGACCTCTTTAATCTCATTTCATGCCACTCTTCTCCCTCACTCAATACATTGCCATCAAACTGGCCTCCTTTCATTTTCTCTGATGTACCATGTTCTTTCTCATCTCTGAGCCTTTGCATATGCTGTTTCCTCTATTTGGAATATTAGGTTTCTCTAGTTTTGCTTTTCCTTCAGAACAGTTATCACAGTTTATAATCATGTATTCCTATGAGGATTTGTTTACATCTAGCTACCCCACTAGGATATAAGTTTGTTGAGGACAAAAATAATGTTTGCATTGATTATTATTGTATGTTCAAAACTTAGCTGGGCACATAAGACATGATCAGTGAATATTTGTTGATGGAATGAATAACCTTTCAATCATGCAGGCCCACACAGAGGAATTGCTTCATTCTAGCAGTTCTTCTAGTCTGATGGTACAGTATCCCCACCTGGAGGCAGGTACCATTCTCTTTGGCTAGGGATGACACCAAATGATATCGTCATCTCTTTCATCATCCTTTCATTAATGCCACCCATTATGCCATCAGTAGGAAATTTCTCTTGAAGTCACTTCATCTTATTCTGTTATAGCTGTTATTGTAACAGGCTTCTTTATCTTTACCACCTTCTCTGTGTTCTTTTTCATTTGTTTTGCAGCAACTTACCTTCTTTAAGCTGCAGGAAGGCTTGCCTTCTGGCTTTATCACATACAAGGACTGACTGTTTCTGTTTTGTGCAGGAGCACAAAACTGAGGCAAGCAAAGGCATTACTTTCCTTTATGCTGATGCTCTGGATAATATTATGCCCTAAAGAGAGAGGTTAACTGTCTACCAGCCTGCCCCAGCAATTCCAAACCAGATAGAAATTAAAAATATAAAAATAGTGCTTTTGGGATGGCCAGTTTGCCCAGTTGGTTAGAGCATGGTGCTGATAGCACCAAGGTCCAAGTTTCGATTCCTGTGCCAGGTCATCCTCCAAGAAAAAAAAAAGAAAAGAAAACAGTGCTTTTTACTCTGTGCCAGTTTTTAATTTGGTCAACCCCTTGAAATTGTGTACCTATTTTATACTTTAATTGGTTTATGTACAGGTTCATTTTTCTGCAAAATGATATTTTTATTAGCTCCTTCAAGCTAATAAAAAACTTTTTTTAATTAAAAAAAACCCCACTATATTTTATTAGCTCCTTCGAAAAGCCAGAGATCCGAAAAAAGTGCCCCAAGCTTTGTATCCCTGCTTTATTTCTCCCTGTGAGTGACAAAATCTGCACGGCTGATTGTGTTCTTTTTCTAAACCACTTTGTGTTGCAACTCCAGGATGCATCCTGAACCTTGTTTTCAAGTGAACTTTGTAAACAAGCCCTCAGCTTAACAGGCATTTTGAACCATATGAACAATAAATGCATCATAAAATTTCCTGTTTGAAAAACAAGGCATCTGAGATAATTATGCACTGCATTTAGCTACTGACGTTTTAGTTATTTTTATTAATGTCATTAACATAATTTATTGTTTCTGATTACTTTTCTGAAAGACCTGAGTGTGGTCACCCTGGCTTTCAGAACTGTGTCAACAGTGCTAACTGGGAAACCACCATCACACATTTTTTAAAACTCCAAACATTACTAAGCATAAGGATGGATTTCGGGCCTAAAAATAATTCAGTCGGAATGTAAAGAATAAGCTGAAACAATGTTATGCAACAAGCCTTTAGCATATGTGTACGTATGTCTGTATATATGATGTCAAGAGATACACATTTATTACAGTGCTTTGAGGGGTTATTTATTATTTGACCTCTTAAAATTCTTAGGTACAAAAAAAGTGGATCTTCATTAATCAGGATTCTTTTTTATTTATTTTTTCTTCCTCTTTTTTTGCCAAGGAAATTTTAAAGATGTTTCTTCCTTCACTTCCTTCCTTCCTTCCATGTACTGTCCATGCCCAGTATAAATCTACAGTCACTGCAACTTGAATGGATGAAACTCCATGCTAGCAAATCACCAGAAGGAGAACTCTTCGCTGTGGTGTTTCCTTCTAGATAGGACTATCGAACCAAAGACGCATTCTAGTGGTGTTTGTTGTTGTTGTTTTTTCTTTTCTCTTTAACGATGATTAAGTAAGCCAACTCAAGATTCCACAAGAAAAAAAATAGATGCCCAGATTTGGCTAATTCTTTATCATTTTTTGATTTAAACCCGACGATGCTTTGGGGAGAACTCTGGCGCCTGCTGCCACAAATGCAAACACACACCCGCACTCTTTCCAAGATACAGGTTTTCAAGCAAAATCCTCTGAGCTGCCAATCCGACATTTCATTTAAAGAAAGAATTGGCTTGGTTTTCAAGCGACATATCTCTAAGTGCAAGAGAGACAAAGCGCACCCAGGCTGATAAGGCACGTGCCAAGGCTCAAGGTGGGAATTCCTGGCACAGCCACGAGGCTGCTGGCGTAGGCACTGGAGCCTGGTGGAACCGAGCCACCGAATCTCTCTCCTTGGGTTGCTTTCCTTGTTGAAACCGCCTGCAGCTCAAAGAGAAGTTTGAGCCAAGAGCACACTTCGTGATCCTGCCCTGGAGCAAGATCTCAGTTTCCCCCGTGGAATCACGGGCTTTCCTGGAGGAGGCAACGAGGTACAGCCGCAGAGTTCTCTGCAGACGGAACCCCCTAGGGCTGGTGGGGCCTGGAAGGAACGAGTCCAGACCACGGGACCTCCCCTGGCTGTGGACCGACACCCAGCTGTCCTTGACCACCCCGGCAGTCGGAGGCGCGCGCTGGGGAAATGAAAGTAAAACCTGCGCTGGCGCAGACACTATTTGGAAACTGGCGACAATTAGGTCGCATCCTCAGAGAGACTAACAGACAGCCGCCCTGGACAGGATCGGTGCGAAGAGCCTGACTCGCCAGAGAGGAACTGAAAAGACGAGAAATGGGAGACATGAGAGAAAAACAATTGTTAGGCTGAGGAGGCTTCTAGAAACACAGCAGGCACGCAGCAATACCTGCCGTCTGCGGTGCAGACAGATTAGCCGCCTGACCTGGTCTGCTACGGTGACTGCCCTACGGCCAGCCAGGCGGCCGAGCCGGGCCAGGTCGCCGCGCTGCACCGCTCTGACCCTCCGCGTCCCAAGCCCGTACCAGAGCCAGGAATCTGTACCCCGCCCTCAGCTGGAACTCAGATGCGCTCAGGTGACTCCCTCGGGGAAGAGTCCTCAGAATAAATAACCGCGGCGCGGCCATGTCTTCCCCAGGTTCAATGTCCACGGTTCAGTCTGGAGAGCGAAAAGGCTGCTGAGCCAGCAGTGCGTGGCCCAGACCATACTGTGGACAAGGTCCGCGCCACCCGGCGCCCAGCCGCCTTTGCACTGGGTCTCAGAACCATTATGGCAGAGCAGGCAGGACGCTTAGAGATCTGCTGGGGGCACGTCCTAGATGGGAACACTAGAGAGAGGAAGTGACTTACCCACGTTCACATAGCGAATTGCCAAGAGGGTGAGTACTAGAAGCCGGTATAGTCAGTAGTCTTGCACCCTCAGCCTCTCAGTCTAGTTGCTGAGCTTCGAGACTTTAGAATGGGGGTAGTTGGTAAGACACCAGAAACCCGCATGCAAGAAGTAGGGATCCCCGCGGGGCTGAGCCTTTCCTCCCCAGTTTGGCCCCCAGAAGGGAAGTTAAGAAAGTGAAGTCAAGAAGCAGTGATGGAAGAGCTCAAACGGGTGACAAAGGTGTTTGGGGTGATTCATCATGAACAGGCACAAATCCTTGGGCGGGGGCTGGGATTCTCCTCTCCCCCTTGACGAGATGGTGACCCCAGCCTAGAAGAATCCACGCCGCGCCCCAGTCGGCCGTGCTTGCTTGTTGGGCCGAGTTAGGACTCTCCTGCTTCTTTAGCGTGACTTCGGGCAAGATACTTCCTCTCTCTGAACTTCAATTTTCTACTTGGCAGAACGTGAAAAGTAGTGTTACTTTCTTCGCCTAACTCAGGGGTTGGTGTGAAGATCAAAGGAGATTGGCATGTGACTGTGCTTTGTAAACTGTGAAGCGATTATCATACATGAAGCATTAGTGTGCTCCCTGGCCTCACGTTTACAATGGGTGAATGAAGGCAGCCGGGCAAACTCTCAGGTTATAACCTTATAAGGCATAATTGGATTACAAGGGGGCGGGGGGAATGAAACGGTATCCTTCTGCTTGATTTTGGTTATTCCTATATTTCCAAACAGGCATGTAAATTCTGAAATTTCAGATAATTCCCCACCCCTCCCCAGATCCTAATTCTCAATTCAGCCTTTCCGAGCCTTGCCCCTATTGCGAAATCTTGCTTGCCCATCCCCAAACCCCCCAGTCTCGGCCGCCCTCACGGGGGGTGGGGGGGGGCGATGAGGGGGCTGGCGAGCCCGGCTCCTCTCTGCTCTTCACTGTACCCTGCCCCTGTGGCTCCGCGGGAGTCTGGGGTCGCGGCCAGGTCAGGCGCTGAGCCGGCAGGGGGCGCGGTCCTCTTGAGGCCACAACTCCCCAAATCCAGAACTCGGACCATGCGCGCGGTCTCCCCAGCTGGCTCTTGCTGTTCTTTGCCAGGAGGTCCCGCACGCTAGGCTGCATAGGTCCTGGGTTAAGGACCCCAAGAAGTTCCACTGGCACTCCTTCACCCCGGCTTATCGTCTGAACCCTGTGCCCAGAAAGTTAGGTCTGTGGCAGTTCTTACACCAGCCTCCTGGAACCCATCTCTGAGTCCTCTAAGCACAGGGGACCCCCCAACCCACACCCACAGGCAAGCAATGCGCGAGCCCGAGTGCAGGAGCGCGCGCGCCCATGGAACGAAAGGGAGGGCGCGAGGGCGGTAGGGCAGCCCAGGCCCCGCCCCCCTGAGCTCTTATAAAGAGCAGGAACCAGAGCTGGCTACTCAGTGGTTTCTTGGTGACACTAGGTAGAAGAGCTTGATCTTTGCCACCTCTGAGTTATCGCCGCAGCTGAACTCAGACTTTGGGGTTTTGCTACTGCCAGAGGGACGTACAGAAGTACTTTCTCCTCCAACTACTTGACAGATCGCCTATCAGCAGGTAGGTGCCGCAGGCCCGGCGGGTTAAAGGGGGGTGGGGGGAGAGGTTGCAGAGACCCGAAACTGGGAGTGCTAGGTGAGGGGAATAACCCATTTGGAGGGGCAGGGGGAGTTTTCTGCGGAGTGCACGCCGCATCCCGGGCGCAGCTTATACACACAGCTGGAGCTCCAGAGAGTCACAGTCCCTTCTGCTCGTCTGCCAAGTTCCAAGAAGTTGAGCAGGGGACCTCTGGGGACCTGCCTCTGTGCAGCGCCCCCACCCTCCGCTCCCCCGCGGGGCCTGTCACCCGCCCGCCGGGTGCAAACGTTTCTGGCGCCTCTCTGCGCCCCGGGGAGATAAGCGTCTGAGCCAGGCAGAGCGCTGGCTGAACCCGCCCGCGCCGGGGCCCCCGCCCGTCCTCCGTGCCCAACCCGGGCAGTGCAGCTGGCCCGGGTGCTCACGCTCGGCTCGTCTCTCCTTTTTCAGGATCTGCGCATCGCCGCCGGGATGAAGCTGGTTTCCGTCGCCCTGATGTACCTGGGCTCACTCGCCTTTCTAGGTGCAGACACCGCGCGGCTCGACGTGGCGTCGGAGTTCCGAAAAAAGTGAGTCCGCGGCAACACATTCCCCTGTCTTGGTACCTGGCAGGCTAGGGGAACAGACCGTTGGTCCCCAGGGGTTAGAAGTGACTGGGAACAGGGACGGGCCAGGACGTCGCCTGGACGCACGCGATTCGGGTCTGCTCGTGCTTTACAGATGGAGTAAGTGGGCTCTAAGTCGCGAGAAGAGGGATCTTCTGGCGCCCACCAACTACCCCACCGGGCTCGCCGACGTGAAGGCTGGGCCGACCCAGACTCTCATTCGGCCCCAAGACATGGAGGGTGCCTCTCACAGCCCCGAGGCCAGGTAACTATGCCCCGCGCAGTGGGGGAAGCGGGGGCGTGCGGGAGGAGCTCTCCCTCTCCCGGCCCTGGGGTTCGTCGTGGCTGGATGACAGCTCAGATGGCGCGAGCAGTTTCTAGCTCCCTCTCTGGTCCTAGAATGACTCCTGTCCATGGTGGCTGGGGCCAAAGCCCTGCTGGATGGGGTCTCAAGTGGCCTTCCTTCTCCTCCCCAGCAGTCCGGACGCCGCCCGCATCCGAGTCAAGCGCTACCGCCAGAGCATGAACAACTTCCAGGGCCTGCGGAGCTTCGGTTGCCGCTTCGGGACTTGCACGGTGCAGAAGCTGGCGCACCAGATCTATCAGTTCACAGACAAGGACAAGGATGGTGCCGCCCCCAGGAGCAAGATCAGCCCCCAGGGCTACGGCCGCCGGCGCAGGCGCTCCCTGCCGGAGGCCGACCCAGGCCGGACTCTGGGGTCTCACGAGCCACAGGCACCCGAGGCTCCGTCCTCCCGTGTGCACAGAGTGCTCGCCACCCTTTTTAGGATTTAGGCGCCAGTGGCAGCAGCGAACAGTCGCGCAAGCATCCCGCTGGCGCCTCCCGGGGCGGAGGGCTTTTGGAGCCATATGGACACTGGGCTGTCACAGCCCTGCAGAGAACCCGAGGGCACGGTCCAGCGGCGAGCCCTGGTTTTGCAGGGGCCTCACCTCCTCCTCGGGGCAGCGCTTTCTTTGCTCTGATCAGTCCCGGGTGCCCCAGGGGGAATCCGAGGGAATCTCTGCCAGGCAGAAAGGAAAGGTGAAACTGAGAATTAAGTGTTGAGACCCCCGGGTCAGGAGTCTAAGCCACTGCCGTGCCCGCCCACGAACTGATTTCTCACGGGTGTCACCCCACCAGGGCGCAAGCCTCACTATTACTTGAACTTTCCAAAACCTAGAGAGGAGAAGTGCAATGCGTGTTGTACATACAGAGGTAACTATCAATATTTAAGTTTGTTGCTGTCAAGATTTTTTTTTGTAACTTCAAATACAGAGATATTTTTGTACGTTATATATTGTATTAAGGGCATTTTAAAGCAATTGTATTGTCCCCCTCCCCCTATTTTAAGACGTGAATGTCTCAGCGAGGTGTAACATTGTGGTTTGCAGCGTGGAACGTGAGAGTGTGTGTGCCTGAACGATAGAGAGAGACTGATTACCTCCCGCGGAAGAAGGAAACACCATGTCTCTGTATAATCTATCTACATAAAATGAGTGATATACCAACAGCAAACCAATAAACTCTCTCGATGCTGATTCATTCTCGGCTCTCGCGTCTAGGGAGGGAGAGCGCCTTGGGGGTCCCGCCGCCGGGCTTGGGAAGATGGGACGGCGGCGCGGGCGCGTGCCAGCTCCTCTCCGCGCCGGCCGGGCGGTCTGTCACGAACTCCGCTCTCCACGTGAGGCGCGCAGAGCGCGTGTCCTGGGTGCGAGTCAGGGCTTCGCGGAGACGCCCGAGGTCACTGCCTCGCGTGGCGGCCGGGAGGGGCGGGATAGGATGAGCCCTACTGGGGAGCCGAGCCTGGACTCTCCGGGTTGCGCAACGTCGTCCTAGATTTATGGAGTTGCTCACGAGACTCTACGCGAAAGCGCGCTTCGGAGAGTTGGGGAGGTCTCCGAGGCCTTCTCAGTGAAGAGTCTGCCCCGGCTACTGCGGGTGTTAAAGTTAGAAACTACCCCAGCAAAGTGTTGGGACATCTCCGGGAAACCCACAGCCAGTAACCTCGGCCCTCTCCCTGCCCGAGTGCCCAGTGGGGCGTGGTGGGGGGGTGAAAGTGGGGGGAAGGGGGAGGAAAGGGGGACTTATAAGCGAGACGGTGGCGCCCCCTGCCGGTAGCCTCGGATGCGCCCCAAGAGCCATTCGGCCGTACTCGTACGTGCGGTTTAATAAGTTCTCCTACGTGGGAGTCAGCACACAGCCTTAATGAAAGAGGAAAGAAAAAAACAGTTTGCAGATGCCAACCAGGGCCGGCCATCCCCAGACCTGCACGGCGGCTCCCTGTTCTGGGACAGTGACTCAGCGCCCACACGCTGCGCAGCGTGCAGCTGCTGGCCGGAGGCGGGCGGGACGGACGTGCAGCCGGAACCGTGCGCCTCCGACGCCCTGAGACCTTCATTGTTCCGCCTCCCCTTGCCGCTCTCCTCTTCCTTCCTCCCTCCCAAGCCTTTTTCATTTTTTCT